ACCCCATGGCACGTCCCCTGGCACGTCGCCTGGCGCATCCCTTGGGACGTTTCGCGTCGCGTCCTCCTGGCATGTTCCCCTGTCCATTAGCTCTGGGGCAGCTACTATGTGTTCAGGCAGCTCGAGCTTAAGATCCCGATCAGTTCGGTCAGGACTCGGATGCAAAGGAGGACTCGATCAACGAGGCTATAGAGCACAATCGCGCCATGGCACATCGCAATTCAGCACGTTGCAGCACAGCACAGCCCTCGGCAGGGTACATCAAGATCGATACACTCAGCATTGCATTTGCCCCTCACCCAATCTGGTGTCTTTGAAAACGCTGCCATGTGTTACAGTTCTATATTCCTTTCCGGTTTCGTGGGTCGATCATGTTGGACCCTGACCCCGCTGATCTGCGTGAGGGGTGCCACCGAGTTTCAGAAATGTGGCAAATTCGTTGTGTTTTCGGACCCTGACCCCGCCGGTCTGCGTGCGGGGTGTAAATTTTTACCCACCCCAGCAATTCAGAGCACACGCTCAGGGCGTGCTAAACCTGTCCGTTTGGGCCTCCCCCCCCTCGCGCGGTCCATCAGCAAGGAACAGTAAGCAGCAAGAAACAGAACTGTGACAGTGGAAACTGGAAGCTGCAACTGGTACAGGAAACTGCGAAACTTCGGCCTACAGCCTGGTGGCCCCACAAGGGGGCCGGCGGATTAGTATTATTATCGCGAATACGATTTCATAATACTAGTCAGGCTGCGAATACTGAGCAGAGTATAAACTTGTAACATCAGCAGTATGATTATTTACAATCATAACAGTAGTACTAATGCTACTAATGCTATTACTACTACTACTACTACTACTACTACTACGACGACTACTACTACTACGACGACTACTACTACTACTACTACTACTATTACTATTACTATTGCTACTACTACTACTACTACTACTACTACTACTACTACTACTACTACTACTACTACTACTACTACTACTACTACTACTACACTACTACTACTACTACTACTACTACTACTACTACTACTACTACTACTACTACTACTACTACTACTACTACTACTACTACTACTACTACTACTACTACTACTACTACTACTACTACTCTACTATACTGCTGCTGCTGCTACTACTACTACTACTACCGATACCACGATAACTACTACTGCTACTACTGCTGCAGCTGCGTGCTGCTACTACTACTACTACTACTAATACTACTACTACTACTACTACACTATTACTACTACTACTACTACCTATACTACTATTACTACTTCTACTACTACTATTATTACTACAACTAATACTAACTCACTACGTAACAATTTACTACTACTATTACCTACTACACTATTAACTACTAATACTACTACTACTACTACTACTACGAGTAAGCTACTTACTACTACTACTCACTACTACTACTGCTACGACTACGACTACTACTACTACTACTACTACTACTACTACTACTACTACTACGACTACTACTACTACTACTACTACTTACACTACTACTACTACTACTACTACTACTACTACTACTACTACTACTACTACTACTACTACTACTACTACTACGGATACTACTACTACTACGGATACTACTCCTACGGATACTACTCCTACGGATACTACTCCTACGGCTACTACTCCTATTAACACGAGAAATACCAATCGCACTACTTAACATAGACTGATACTACTAATTTTCACTTTCAGGAGGAGGAGGAGGAGGAGGAGGAGGAGGAGGAGGAGGAGGAGGAGGAGTAGGGAGCAGGAGCAGGAGCACGAGCAAGACCACGAGCAGGAGGAGGAGGAAGGAGTCGGAAGAAGCTATGGAGGAGGAGGTGGGAGGAGGGAGGAGGAGGAGGATGAGGAGAGGAGGAGGAGGAAGGGGGAGGAAAGAGGAGGAGGAGGAGGAGGAGGAGGAGGAGGAGGAGGCAGGAGGAGGAGGAGGAGGAGGAGTAGGAGGAGGGGTAGTGTTAGGAGGAGAGGAGGAAGAGGGGAAGTGGAGGAGGAGAAGAGACAGGGATAAAGGGAGGTGGCAGGAGGGATAGGGAAGGAGGGATGAGGAGGATGGGGGGAGGGAGGAGAGGAGGAGGAGGGAAGGAGGAGAAAGAGGGAGAAGGAGGGATCACGGAGGAGGAGGAGGAGGAGGGAGGATAGGAGGAGGGATGAGGAGAGGGAGAGGGAGAGGATGCGAGGAAGGAGAAGGGAGGAGGCAGGAGGCAGACGGAGAGGGAGGAGGAGGGGGGAGAGAAGGAATGGAATGGATGGAGAGGAGGGAGGGAGGGTGGGAAGGAGGGAGGGAGGGCGGTGCCGGGCGGGCGGGCGGGCGGCGGCGGTCGGGCGAGCGGGTAGGGAGGGAGGAGGAGGAGGAGGAGGAGATGAGAGGGGAGGGAAGAGAGGTAGAAATACGAGGAGGGGGGAAGGAGGGGGTTGGGAGGAGGGAGGAAGGAGGGAGGAGGGAGGGAGGAGGGAGGAGGGATGAGGGATGAGGGATGAGGGAGGAGGGAGGAGGGAGGATGGAGCGGGGGGAGGAGGAGGAGGGAGGAGGAGGAAGGAGGAGGCAGGAGGGAGGAGGAGGAGGCGGAGGCGGAGGGGGGGAGGGAGGAGGGAGGAGGGAGGAGGGAAGGAGGGAGGGAGGGAGGGAGGGAGGGAGAGAGGTCACGTGGTACGACCGCGACGAGGGCGACGACGACGGCAGGCTGCCCCTCCTGGCCAGCTCCAACGGACGGGAGGTCCTGGACAAGACACGCCACTTCCTAAGCGATTGGAGGACGCTGCGCCAACACGGGCTCTCGGCGGAAGGGGCGCGCACGCTGCTCCGCACTTACGCCCAGGGCTGCTGCACCCACGTCCTGCGCGCGAACTACGAGTCCGCTTGGGTGGGGGAGCTCGACGACTTGCTCTTCAGTGCCTACGCCGAGCTGATGGGTGGGGCCCTTGAGCGACGAGCAGACGGAATGGATCACCCTCCGCCCCCAAAACGGCGGCAACGGCTTCCCCTCCGCCCGGGAGGGCGCCGCCCGCGCTTACGTCGGAAGCTGGGCTTTCTGCTTTCGAAGCGTAGCGGCCTGCCTCGGCGCCACCTCGGCGGAGGCTCTCCGAGCCCGCTGCCCTCAGACGGAAGACGCTTGGCGCCGCGCCGAGGCGGAGCTCGACCGGCAAGAGGCGAAGACCGCCCCCCTGGACTGGGCAGCTCTCCTGGCCGAGCCCAAGACCAAGCAGCAAGGGTATTGGGGAAAGAGGACTTCCGCCGCCAAAAGAGAACGACTCTTCCGGACGCTGGGCGAAGACGGTCAATTCGCTCTGCGTGCGCGGAGCAGGGGGACCTGGCGCAGGGGCCTGGCTCCTGCCGCGCGAGGAGGGCGACGCGCCCCTCCCAGACGCCACTTCCTGGCCAACCTGCGCATGCGCCTCAGCTGCGACGTCTGCACCCCTGGCGCGCGCTGCCAGCACCGCAAACAGGATGGCTCGTTATGCGGGGAGCTGCTGGGCACCAAGCTGCAAAGGCTGGCACGCCCGGAAGTGCGGGTGCGGGGACAGCAGAGACTACAGGCACAATTCCGTGCGCGACTGGAGCGCGCCCTGGCACTTCGCGCAGACGGGTCACCGGGCCGCGACCGAGCAACGCGTCCCTGCTTGGAACCGCCAGCACCCCGACGCTGGCGCGTGGGAGGAGGCCGCCCTCGACGTGGCCACGCGCGACCCCGTCACCAACGCCCTCGTCTACGTGGACTGGTCTGTTACCTGCGAACACAGCGACGACGACGCTCGCAGGCAGACCAGGGCTCGCACGGACGGGGTCGCGGCTGCTCAGGCGGTCGACAGACAGCGAGCGGGCTACCCCCTTCCGGCGGGGAGCTCATCCCGGCCGTCCTGGAGGCCGGCCAGCGGACGAGCTGGTCGCCTTCGTCCGCTCTTACGGCCGGGACCTGCCAGAAGACCGAGCGGTCGGGCCTGAGTTCCTGTACTTGGAGGAAAATCCAGCGCTGCTTGGCTTTCGGCAGCGCGGAGATGCTGCTTAGCGCGACGTAAGCAGCCAAGCAGCACAGCAGTTCGACACCCACAACCACCAGCGCGACCAGCGCGATTACCACCGTGACCACGACGACCTTCGCAACCCCAACCACCGCGACCGCGACCCACGCCCACGCCCACGCCCACGACCGCCCCCCGCCCCCGCCCCCCGCCCCCGCGACCACGCCCGCGACCACGCCCACGACCACGCCCACGACCACGCCCATGACCACGCCCACGACCAGGCCCACGGCCACGCCCACGACCACGCCCACGACCGCCATTGCCCCCCACGCGGCGGTCCCCACAGCCGCCCACGCCCACGCCCCCTCCTTCCCTCTCCCTGACCCTGCTTGGCCGCCCCTGTACCTCACTTCTTCCTCCTTTCTCCTCCCCTTAGATTCTGGCACTGCTGTCCCGCGCGCCCTGACGAGGTTTGGCACCAGGGGACCCCCGCCAGCCGACCCTGCCCGGACCTGGTTGTCCCCTGGGTGCGAGACTTCCCGTCCTCCCCCTCTCCCCCGGGAGAAAGAGAGAGAGAGAGAGAGAGAGAGAGAGAGAGAGAGAGAAGGAGAGAAGGAGGGAGGGAGGGAGGAGGGAAAAATGGAGGCAGGGAGGGAGGGCGGGAGGGAAAAGCACGAGGAGGAAAGGAGGATGAGGAGGATGATGATGAGGAGGAGGAGGAGGAGGAGGAGGAGGAGGAGGAGGAGAGGAGGAGGAGGAGGAGGAGGAGGAGGAGGAGGAGGAGGAGGAGGAGGAGGAGGAAGGGAGGAGGGAGGAGGAGGAGGAGGAGGAGGAGAGGAGGAGGAGGAGGAGGAGGAGGAGGAGGAGGAGGAGGAGGAGGAGGAGGAGGAGGAGGAGGGGAGGAGGAGGAGGAGGAGGAGGAGGAGGTGGAGGAGGAGGAGGAGGAGGAGGAGGAGGAGGAGGAGGAAGGAAAGGAGGAGCAGCGGCCGCCCCGAGAGGCCGCTGCCGCGGAGCGCGGGCGTGGGCCGTGGCCTGCGCCGCGAGACCGGTCGCGGCGAGGGCGGTGGAGCTGCGCGAGTTGCAGGACCCAAGGTCGCTGCCACGGCATGCCGCATGCCATGCTCCGAGATCCGACGCTCCAGAAAAACCAAACCAGCGGGTTTTTCGGTTTTCGCCTTCTCGGGGCCCTCACCGGGCCTTGGGACCGTCAAAAAAAGAGTCACGACAAAAAGCCAGGCCCAGGGAAGTGGTCCAGACCTCCGTGGCCCACGCATCGGGAAAATCGGAGCGGTCGGATGGCTGCGGCCTTTTGAACATGGAAGTCTCTCATGGTACAACAGAGAATCACAACCACAACAGGATGGATTTTTCCGGAGGGCACACCGGGGGCTAACCCACCGATCTCGACATGAGCACTCTGGTTGTCGCTGTGGTCGACCTGGCCGTCCTGGGGCGCCATGTCGACCACAACCAGCACAAGGCTGGTTTGGGTGCTCCCAGAGTGTGTCCTCGACGTGGCTGTGGTCGCTCGCTGCCCCCGCAGCCCCGAACATGGGGCGTGTTGCGCTTCAAGGCGGGCGTGTCGGGACCCCGAAGCTTCACGACGTGAGGGGGTCTGGGTACACCTGCTGCGGCCGGCCAGGGGAGGCCCGACAGGGAGGACCGTGTGGAGCGTGCTCGCGGGCACGGGGCGCTGGCAGTCGTCTGGCTACAAGCTTCGGAAAAATAGCGAACGTTCATGCCACATTCATCTGTCAACGCCTCCCCCTCCCCCCCAATGTTCAAAGTTGGCGGTGGGTCTGACGAGTTGCACCTCGACCGTAGTCTCCCCCGCGCGTGCCGACTTTGAGTTTGGGGGACAGCGGGGGTGTTCACTAATTGCTTCCCTCCGCCGCATGGGTTCCCTTAGTTCGGAATTATGGGAACCCTGGAATCACTACAAGAAAAAGTGTTTTTTTCGCGGTGGTTCCAGGTTTCCCATGAGTCGCAGGCTTCTGGGGCGCCAGCCAAGGGCCGCGGACCCAGGTCGGGGGGGCAAGGGTCCGCCCGAGGTCCGCATTCTGCCTTGGTCGGCGGCGAGATCCGAGCCCTACCCCTCCGAGGAGGAGGGCGGACCTGAACATTTGGGGGAGCAGGTTTCTGGCCATTTTTGAAACGGATCCAGGGTGAACAAAATGATCCAGAAGGGCCTCGGGAGGGGTCCATGGAACGATTTTGTGTGAATTTGACATCTTCGCCCGACCGTCGCCGACCAACGAGTCATGCAACTCTATGGGCGGCGGGGGTAGGGTTTGGAATTCGTCGAGCATGTGGCGAAGTCTGAACCTTACTCTCGCCTCCCATCGATTTAGGAGAATCGATGGTTGGTGGAGGTCTTGTTCGGATGTTGCCACCTATTCGGCCCGCGAGGGTCTGTGCGGGTGAGGTTTTCGGACGCTTTTGGCCCTTGTCGGGCCTCGGGGGTTCTCCAGGGTCCCTGGGGGAGCTCTTGTGACCTCTGGGGGTCAGGAGGAGGAGGAGGAGGAATAGGGGGAATAGGGGGAATAGGAGGAATGGGAGGTATAGGAGGAACAGGAGGAGGAGCTTGAGGAGGAGGAGGAGGAGGAGGAGGAGGAGGAGGAGGTGGAGGAGGAGGAGGAGGAGTAGGAGGAGGAAGTGAAGGAGGAGGAGGAGGAGGAAGAGGATGAGGAGGAGGAGGAGGAGGAAGACGAGGAGGAGGAAGAGGAGGAGGATGAGGAGGAAGGCGATGATGATGATGATGATGATGATGATGATGATGATGATGATGATGATGATGATGATGATGATGATGATGATGATGATGATGATGATGATGATGATGATGATGATGATGATGATGATGATGATGATGATGATGATGATGATGATGATGATGATGATGATGATGAATGATGATGATGCTGCTGCGCTGCTTGCGGCTGATGATGATGATGAGATGAATGATGAGGATGATGATGATGATGATGATGTGATGATGATGATGATGATGATGATGCTGCTTGACTGGATGATGATGATGCTGATGCGATTGCGGTGCTGGTGCTGATGATGATGCTGGTGCTGATGTGATGCTGCTGATGATGCTGCACGATCACGATGATATTGATGATGATGATGATGATGATGCTGATGATGATGATGATGGTGGTGGTGGTGGTGGTGGTGATGATGATGATGATGATGATGATGATGAGAGGATGATGATGATGATGATGATGATGATGATGATGATGATGATGATGATGATGATGATGATGATGAGGGTGGTAATGATGACGATGATGCTGAAGACGATGACGACGATGATCATGAAACTGATGCTGATGATGAGGAGGAGGAGGGATAATGGGGAGGAGACGACGAGGAGCAAGAGCAGGAGCATGAGCCGGAGCATGCTGCTGATGCTGCTGAGGATGATAATGATGCTGATGCCGATGCTGATGCTGCTGATGATGATGCTGCTGAGAATGATGATTCTGATGATTTTGATGATGATGATAATGACGATGATGATGCTGATGATGCTGCTGCGGATGATGACGATTATGTTGATGATGATGGTTTGATGCTGATGATGCCGATGATGCTGACGGTGATGGTGATGGTGATGGTAGTGGTGATGGTGATGGTGATGGTGATTATGATGATGCTGCTGATGATGATGATGCTGATGTTGATGATAATTATTATTATTATGATGATGATGATGATGATGCTACTGGTGATGATGATGATGATGTTGATGCTGCTGCTGATGATCATGATGATGATGATGTTGATAATACTGATGATGATGATGATGAGGATGATGATGATGATGATGATGATGATGATGATGATGATGATGATGATGATGATGATGATGATGATGATGATGATGATTGTGATGGTGATGGTGATGGTGATGGTGATGGTGATGGTGATTCTGATGATTATGATGATGCTGATGATGATGATGATGATGATGATGATGATGATGATGATGATGGTGATGCTGGTGGAGGTGGTGGTGGTGGTGGTGGTGGTGGTGGGGAGGAGGAGGAGGAGGAGGAAGAAGGAATGGTGAGACTGATGAGGAGGACGAGGAGGACGTTCAGCTCCGAGGTTGTTGGTGATTGTGGTGAAGAGGATGACAGTATGTAGGAGGGAAGCTGAGGATGAGGAGGAGGGGGAGGAGGGGGATGGATGCGGGAAGGGCGGGGGGAGACGTATAACACGTAGAATTCGGAATGAAGAAAGAAAATAGGGACGAGGAGGAACAGGAGCAGGAGGTGGAGGACCAGCAGACAGCACGAGTTCGCACCCGAAAATGAGATATATGCGGGGGTATCCTTTTCCTTCCTCCTCGTCGTCCCTCCCCGCTTTCTCCTCCTGCTCATGCTGCTCGTCCTCTCGCGCCCTCTCCACCTCCGCCTCTCTTTCTTCCTTCTCGTCGTCACTCTCCTTCTACTCCTCACCATCTCCCCCTTCCGACTCCTTCGAATCGCCATCTGACTTTTCTTCCTCGCTCTTTTTCTCCTAATGCTGTTGCATCTCTTCACTTCTCCCTCTCTTTCTTTCAATATTTTGCTGCTGCTGTTGAAGCTTCTCGTGCTCCTCTCTCATCCTGTCAATCCTCCGCTCTTTTCACCTTCTTCATCCTATGCCTTTCTTCTCGCCCTACCCCTCGTTGTCCTTCTTCCGAGGACTGGGGGTCGGGGAGGACGAGGACGGGCACGAGGACGAGAACGAGAATGAGGAGGATGAGGAGGATGAGGAGGAGGAGGAGAAACAGGAGGAGTGTGTGTGTGTGAGTGGGTGAGTGAGTGAGTGAGTGAGTAAGTGGGTGAATGGGTTAGTGAGTGGGTTGGTGGCTGGGGGGTGAGCGAGGGAGGGAGAGAGCGAGCGAGTGAGTGAGTGAGTGAGTTAGTGAGCCAGTGAGTTATTGAGTGAGTTGGGACGAGGAGGAGGATGAGGAGGAGGAGGAGGAGGAGGAGGAGGATCATTACAACGACGCGCAGCCACAGATCGTGAAGAATCGCGTCTTTATTCAACCGCTGGCTTCGTCTTCCTCCTCCAAGTGTCTCTCTCTCTATATATATATATAACAATATGTATATATTTATATACACGTGTATACATATACATTTATATATGCGCCACCGTGTTCTGCTCATGGGCAAGGTGGCTCACTTTTGGTAGTTGCAGTGAAGCGATTCTCGGCGCTGGGAAGGACATGTGCTGGGCAGATTACGGCACAGACGTGGCGTCTGCGTGCTGTTCCAGGTCGCATTCGCAGGACCGGGGGAGACGGGCCTATGATGAGTTTGATACCTGATAGCGGTCAGCAGATTAGATGCAGAGCCCGTTCATTTTCGTGGTGCGTGTCGATGGCGTCAGGCCGCGCGCTTCGATGAATGCGATAGGCATTGCTCGGGTCATCAATCGTGTCGTCGTTTCGCGCCCAAGTGGGCTCAGTGATTCCACAGGGAGCGTCAACCTGGCAGTCGAGGGCCACATTCATGGAGGTAGGCAGGAGGCCGAGGATGAGGAGAATGGTCAGGGAGTTTTTTTTTTTTTTTTTTTTTTTTTTTTTTTTTTTTTTTTTTTTTTTTTTTTTTTTTTTAATATTATATAAGGCTGCAGTGGCGCTTCGCGCCATGCACCTTGGTCCTTGACGTTTGGTATGCAGGCGGAATGGCAGGCAGGTCAAGCTGACAATGTAGCAATAACTCCTTGTTGCCTTTTCCGGCAGCGCCGTGATAACAATGTTATTCGTGATTCTTCTTCCATGCTTCTTTTTCCTCATTCTCGCCATACCCTGCGCATTCTCCCCATCCTCCTCTGCTCTTTTTGCGAAGGCTCCTCCCTGGAGAGCTCCTGGGGGCCTCACAAAAGTCTTAAGGCCTTCTGGAGGCCTCCTGGGCGTGTTCTGGGGGCCTCTGGGGGCTTTCTCGGGCCCCCCTGCCTCCAATCGCGGTCTCCCTGAACGACTGGGTCACGATTTGGAATGCTTCGGAGGGTGTCTTGGGGCTATCTTGGGCCGCCATATGGCTCTCTTAGGGCCATCTTGGACCCCTGTTGTGCAGTTTTGGGGCTCTCTTGGACTGCCCGGAAGCCCTTTCGGATGGTTGTGGGGCGATTTTGGAGCCTCTCAGGTGGCTTCGGACGCCCAGAAGACCGCCGTCTTGGAGCGTCGGGAAGCCGAAAAGAGGAGAACCCCAAAATTCACCAAAAACCAACAGAAAGTCAATGATTTTTGCCTCTTGGGGCCTTTTGGGAGTGCTCTTGGAGGCCTCTTGGGACGTTTTGGAGCGATCTTTGGGGGTATGACGGCTTCTTGGGGGTCGTCGTGGACCGTATTGGGGCTCTCTGGGGTCGTTTCGGGAGCGCGCCGGAATGCCTGGAACCCCTCTGTGGCCGTCTTCGAGCTCTCGTGAGATTCTCCCGGGTCTTCTGATGGGTTGCCTGGAGCCCCAGGGATGGCCAAATTTTTTAGTTAGGTGTGTGTGTGTGTGTGTGTGTGTGTGTGTTGGCTCTTTTCGCGTCCTCGGCTATAAATTCCTCTTCCAATATTTTTATAAGCCCGGGCGGGGGGAAAACCCATCACCCCCCCCGCCAAAACCAGACTCCCAGGACCTGGGGCTTTGGGGCCCTCCGGACGGGCCTCGAAGCGGCCACCCGGCCTCGCAAGGCGTTTTGCCAAGCTTTCCCAGCACACTTAGTGCGATCAGGGGGGTCATCGGAGACGTCCCAGAGACCCCCAAGACAGCACAAGAGCGCTCCAAGAGTGACCGACGTGACCTCAAGATGGCCCAAGAGGCCTCCAGGACGGCCCCAAAGAGGCCTCCAAGAGCACTCCCAAGAAGGCCCCCCGAGGCAAAAATCATTGATTTTCTGATGGTTTTTGGTGAATTTTGGGGTTCTCCTCTTTTCGGCTTCCCGACGCTCCAAGACGGCGGTCTTCTGGGCGTCCGAAGCCGCCTGGGAGGCTCCCAAATCGCCCCACAACCATTCGAAAGTGCTTCCAGGCAGTCCAAGAGAGCCCCAAAACGGCACAACACGCGTCCAAGATGGCCCTCAGAGAGCCCCATGGCGGCCCAAGATGGCCCAAAGACACGCTCCGAAGAATTCCAAATCGTGATTCGGTCGTTCAGGGAGACGGCGGTTGGAGGGAGGGTGGCCCGAGGAAGCCCCCGGAGGCCCCCAGAATGCGCCTAGGAGGCCTCCAGAAGGCCTTAAGAAAGCCCGAAACAACTTTTGTGAGGCCCCTAGAGGCTCTCCAAGGAGGAGCTTCCGCAAAAAAAGAGCTGAGAAGGATATGGAGAATGCGCAGGGTATGGCGAAAATAAGGAACAATAAGCATGGAGGAAGGATAACGAATAACATCATTATAGCGGCGATGCCGGAAAAGGCAGCCAGGAGTTTTCGCTAAATTGTCGGCTTGACCTTCCTGCCATTCCGCCTGCAAACCAAAGTTCAAGCACCAAGGTGCATGGCGCGAAGCGCCACTGCAGTCTCGTATATATATATATGTATGAATAGGAATGCACACATATATCTATATGATCGCCCCCCCCCCAGCACCCCCAAAGCCAACAAAACCACAAAACGAACCATAACCACAACCACAACCATAACCAACGCCAGAACAACCGAAACCAGAACCATAACCAGAACTAGAAGAACCAAAACCAGAACCATAAGCAGAACCGTAACCAATGATCGTTTGCTCCTCCTCCTCCCTCTCCTCCCTCTTTGCGACTTCAGCCAAAAACCAAACATACACAGTGTTTCCTTGAACGGAGAGCGCCAAACACTGTGTAAGTTTTTTTTTGGTCTGACGAGCAAGGAAACACTTTTTCTGGTTTTGAAAGCCCCAATGAATGCTCGCAGGGGCCTCTCTTCCAGCAAGCACTAGCGCTGGCAAAATCAACAAAGTAACAAAACAAACAAACATACACAGTGTTTCCTTGTTCCGAGAGCGCCAAACACTGTATGGTTAGTTGTTTTGTTTTTTGGTCTAGGGAGTAAGGAAACACTATGTATGTTTTTTTTTGAAAGCCCCAATGCTCGCAGGGGCCTCTCTCCCAGCAAGCACTGGCGCTGTCACCCCCCCCAAAAACAAACATACACAGTATTTCCTTGCTCCTCAGACCCAAAAAATACACAACCAAACATACACAGTGTTTGGCGCTCTCGGTGCAAGGAAACACTGTGTCTGTTTGTTTTTTTTGGTCTGGAGTCGTCGGGGGGTCCCGGCGAGCATTGGGGCTTGCAAAACCAAAGAAACTAACATAACAAACATACACAGTGTTTCCTTGCTCCTCAGACCCCCCAAACCCAAACAACCAAACATACACAGGGTTTCTTTGCTCCTCAGGCCCCAAAATCAAAAAAACCAAGCATACACCGTGTTTGGCGCTCTCGGTGCTGGGTGGCCGTCGGCCCTCTTCTTGTGCGATTCGGACATCATTCTTATTGAAAGCCAATGCCAAAGGAATTCCAATGAAAGCCAATGCAAAAGGATTCCTAGTGAAAGCCTTTACAAAAGTATTCTAATTGAAATCCCCTACAAACGGATTCCGATTGAAAGCCTCTGCAAAAGGATTCCTATTGAAAGCCACAAGAAAAAGGGATTTCATTGAAAGCCAATACAAGAGGATTCCTATTGAAAGCCCCTGCAAACATATTCTCATTGAAAGCCACAACAAAAGGACTCCTGTTGAAAGCCACTACAACAAGGATTGATTCTATGGAAAGCCTCTGCACAAGGATTCCTATTCAAAGCCTCTACAATAATATTCCGACTGAAAGCCAGTGCAAAAGGACTCCGATTGAAAGCTCTACAGAAGGATTCCTATTGAAAGCCTGTACAAAAGGATTCCAATTGAAGTCTTTTGCAAAAGGATTCCTATTTAAAGCCAAGACAAAAGGATCCTGACTGAAAGCCAATACAAAAGGAATGTGAATGAACACAAAAGGATTCCGATTGAAAGCCTATATCTTCTTCCTCCTGGAGGATGAGGAGAGGGAGGAGGAGAAAAAGGAGCAGGAGGAGGAGGGGGAAGAGGAGGAGGAGGAGGAGGAGAGGGAGGAGGATGCCCCCCATGAGGGGGAGGAGGAACCATGAGGATGAAGAGGACCAGGAGGAAGAAGAGAAGGGCGCTGAGGGGGGAACCACCCCCGCTCCCCCTCGCTCCGCCGTTTGGGGGTGCTGGGGGGGGGGGCAAGCATCTATATCTGTATCTATATCTATATATATACAGATATGAAGGACGAGCGAGGAGAGGTGGGCCTGGAAGAGAAGATGCATGAGAGGAGAGAAGAGAGATGATACATGATGGGAGAAATAAGTGAGTGGATATTCGTTTGATTCTTCATATCAGGTGGGGGGTAGGCTCAGATTCGGACCAGGAGACTGCATGGTTAGTCCTGGATCATTCTGGCTCAGGGCCGTTGGGCTTCCTCCGTTGTCCAATCTTCCATAGGAGTTGCTGGCAGCCGTGGTGGGCGATGCCACCAGCCGCCTTCCAGCGCTGTAAACTTGCTGCTGAAAGTCGCAAATCGACACCCCACTCTCGCTCTCACAGATCCTCTGTCGGCCTTTGCCTCGGTGAGCCTCAAGAAGTCGGGGCGGCGATCGAGGTCTGGCCAGAGTTGACTGCCAGCCGCGAGGGCAACTCCAGGATCGATGCGGCCGCGGGTAGCTTGGCTGCGGAGGCGCCCCCGCTCTTCGAGGACACCGAACAGTCAGAGGTTCGACCCATTAACTATGGACAGCCCCGGCGGAGCCGCTGCACCGCAAGCGGTCCCTGGCGACGTTGGCACGGCGCCCGCGCCAGGAGCGGCGACGGACCGAGCCGCCTACCAGACGGAAGCCCTGTCCAAGTCCAGGGCATCGGCGACTTCGAGGCCGAGGGCGAGGCGATCCCAGCTGGCGTCGCGGCGACCAGCACCGGGTCTGGCTTGGCGGTCGCGTCAGTGCCCGCTCCGAAGGTCGTGGGCATTTACGCACGCAACCAGGCAGTACATGTATGTGTGTTATATACACATAGATGGTTGTATGTATGTATGTCTGTCTGTCTGTCTGTCTGTCTGTCTGTCTGTCTGTCTGTCTGTCTGTCTGTCTGTCTGTATGTATGTATGTATGTATGTATGTATGTATATGTATCTATCCACATACAGGGTGGCTCTTCTCCCGGCCCTATGTTGTTGGCGATGGTGGTGGTGGTGGTGATGATGATGATGATGATGGTGATGACGACGACAATGCTGCTGCCGCTGATGATGATGATGATGACAGCGATTGTGATGATCCTGATGATGATGATGTTAATCATGCCGCTGGTGATGGTGGTGATGATAATGGTGATGATGCTGGTGATGATTATGATGACGATGGTGATGACGATGGCGATGACGATGGCGATGATGATCATGATGATGATAATGGTGATGATGATGCTGATGATGATATTGTTCTTGATGATGATGGTGAGGATGAGGACGCTGATGGTGATGATATTCTTCATGATGATGATGACGATGATGCTCAATCTGCTGCTGCTGCTGATGATGATGATGATGGTGATGACGATGGTGATGGTGGTTCTGGCGATGGTGATGGTGGTGATGATGATGATGATGCTGATGATGCTGATGATGATGATGATGATGATGATGATGATGATGATGATGGCTGCTGCCGCTGCTGCTGATGACTATGCTCATGATGATACTGCTGATGGTGTCGTTGATCCGGATGACGGTGGTGATGATGATGGTGCTGCTGCTTTGACGAGATGATGATGATGATGATGATGATGATGATGATGATGATGATGATGATGATGATGATGATGATGATGATGATGATGATAATGATGATGATGATGATGATGGTGATGGTGATGATGATGCTGATGCTGATTGCGACGATGACGACGATGATGATGATGCTGATGATGATGGCGATGATGATGCTGATGCTGATGCTGATGCTGATGCTGATGCTGTGATGCTGATGATGATGCTGGCCTGATGCTGATGCTGATGATGATGTGATGCTGATGCTTGATGCTGATGTGTGATGATGATGATGAGACGATGATGATGATGTGATGATGTGATGATGATGAGATGATGATGATGATGATGATGATGGTGGTGGTGGTCGGTGGTGGTGGTGGTGGTGGTGGTGGTGATGATGATGATGATGATGATGTGATGATGATGATGATGATGATGGAGATGATGATGATTTCCCATGAGGAGTGAGGATGAGGAGGAGGAGGAGGAGGGGAAGAGGAGAGCGAGGAGGAGGAGAAGTGATGACGTCGATTGATTTTTGTGAAGTTGATTTTTTGGAGCGTGAGGAGGGAGGAGGGAGGAGGAGGAGGAGGAGGAGGAGGAGGGCATGAGGACGAGGAGGACGAGGACCAGGACAAGCGAGAGTAGAGTAGAGGGCTGCGGACGAGACCGTGGCCTCGGCCACCAGAAGAGGCGGGGAGGACGGCGGAGCGACGGCCTGCCCGGTGGCACTGCTCGACTCGGCGTTCCCGCTGGAGCTGTGCTGCCTCGGGCCGTCCGCGGCCGAGGCGCCGCTCCGGGGGTGCGAGGCGCCCTTGCAGGAGCGGCCGCTGCTTGTGGAGCGGGAGGGGGCGTTGCGATTTTTTTTGCAGGGCGTGGTGTTGCAGACCCGGCATTTTTTCAAAACGTGTGTGGAACTCGTGCGCATCTTGGGTCTCCCCGCGGCCTGCCTCCGCAAGCCCCGTGCGCTGGGTGGGTTTACCGAGGCTTACCAAGGCGCGAGGCGCCCTTCCAGGAGCGGTCGCTGCCTGGGGGGGGGGGAGGGGGACATTGCGGTTTTCTTTCGCACTGGGCGTTCTCGCCCGGCTTCGAGTTCTGGGACCATCGCAGGTGCATCCACCTCGAGAGATGCCGCAGACAGATGGGGTTTCGGGCGCTGTGGTCTTTTTTTTTTTTTTTTTTGTGGTTGGTTTTTGTTGGGTTTTTGTTTTTTTATCTGTGTCTTGTTGGGTTGTATTTCTTTGCTTTTCTTTTTTGTCGCTGGGAGAGGCTTTTTGTGGTATATTTTTTTGCCTTTTGTGCTTTTGGTTTTGGTTTCTTGTTGTTTTTCATTTTTTGTTTTTTGGTTCTTTGGTTTGTCTGTTTGGATTGTGTTTATGTGTTATTTTGGTTGGTTGTTTGCGTTGGTGTGTCTGCCTGAGTTCTTTTTGGTTTTGTTCTTTTTTTTTTTTTTTTGTTTGCTTTTTTGTTTGTGGTTTTGTGTATGGTTGTATTTAGTTTTTGTTTATTTTTTCTGTTGGATCGCTGGTGCTGAGGGCTCGCGATGTTGCAACTTTTTCGGAACGTCGGATCGCAGGGGAGCCATGGAGGCCTAGCCTTCCTCCAGCCCCCCTCCCTGCCCGCGCGGGCCTGGTCGAACCCACCTCCACCCGCCCTTGCTCTCTCCCGCCCCAACACTCGCTGCAGGCTCGGGGATGTGCTTGCCAGAGTCCCTGTCCAATCAGGGGGAGGACGAGAGTAGTAATACGAGGCGTTAGCGTGTCCCCTCGGCTTTCCGCCTTCGTCCCCCAGATATGCTCAAGCACGCACACAGCACACAAACACACAGACACAACCACACAAACACACAAGCACAAACACAAACACAAACACAAACACAATCACACTCACAAACACAAGCACAAGCACAAACACAAACACAAGCGCAAGCACAAACACAAGCACAAACACAAGCACAAGCATAGACACAGACACAGACGCAGACAAACACATACACACGCACACGCGCACACGCGCAGACGCACACGCACGCGCGCACACACACGCAGACGCACACGCACACGCACACGCACACGCACACGCACACGCACACGCACACGCACACGCACACGCGCGCACGCACACGCACACGCACATGCACACGCACACGCACATGCACACGCACGCGCACATGCACACGCACACGCACACGCATACGCATACGCGCACACGCGCACGCGCACACGCACACTCACACGCACACGCACACGCACGCATACACACAAGCACACGCACACGCACATACACACACACACGCACACTTTTTTGGTCTGCGGGTCGAGAGCGAGCCTCTTCCGGTTAAGAGCTAGGCGGGCCGCGCAAAGCACTAATTGGGGAGACAGGGCGCGGGCGGGCGGGGCCTCAGGCGGCCGGAGGGCGCACACACACACACACACACCACACAAACACACCACACAGACAGAAACACACTCCGATGCAGCGTCACAGCGACACTTATCCAATCCTCCCCAAGTTTTTCGAGCGGCATCGTCACACTAGAAGTGCAAGATGAATTCATTGATCTAGCGTGAAACGTTCACAGAGCAGCCAGCACAAGCACACGTTGACTGTGTCAGCCTCATGATTGACAACAACCGTTTCGAGCGTAGTACTAGTAATAGTATCAGTCATCGTAGGACTGATCGTACTAGTAATACCAGTATGAAGAAGTACTAGTAGTAGTACTAGTAGTAGTAATAGGACTAGGAATAGGAATAGTAAGAATAGTCGTACGATGATGTAGTCCTTGTAATAGTAATTGTAATCGCATTTGTACTCGTACTAGTACTAGTGATCGTCTGAGTATCTACTTATAGTATTAGTACTAGTAATCATACTGATATGTTGCAACGTAATAGTAATCGTACGTGTACCAGGAATTTGCAGTAGTAACCGGTAGTCATAGTAGTCTTAGTAATAGGAATAGTAATCGTACCAGTACAGCACTAGTGATATTAATTGTCGTAGTGATAGTTCTGGTACTGGTGATAATATTTGTATCACGAATTGTATAGTAGTAGTAATCGTAATAGGGGTGGTGGTTGTAATAGTAGCAGTATTCATTCAAGAAATAGTATTTGTACCATGAGTCGTAATAGTCTCAGAAGTTGGACTGGTAATCGTATCAGTAACAGTAACAGTAATAGTAATAATTCGAGTACGCTTAATAGTAATACTATAATGGTATAACTGGTAGCAGCACCAGTATCAGTCATACAAGTCGTTGTGTTGATCGTAGTACTTATAGTATTAGTAACTGTACGAGTAGTAGTATTCGTAGCACGAATCGTATTCGTAATAGTAATAGTGGTAGTAGTTGTAAGAGTAACCGTGCCAATAATATTCATAATCGCGGTATAAAATCCAGTACTAGTACTCGTAACATGCATAGTGGGAGTGGTACTAACAGTCACAGTAGTTCTAGGAATGAAATCAGTAATAGTTGTGGTAATACTAGTATCAACATAGCCCTCGTACTACTATTAATCATCGTAGTAATAATATTGAAAGGAGTAGTAGTCATAGTCAAAATAGACGACAGAGTAACATGAACCGTAATAGTAAAAGTAAACCTGATAGTGATACTAGTAGTACGAATGCTAGCTGTAGTAACAGTATCAGAACTAGTAATACTTGTAGTTGTCGTGCTAGTACATGTAATCGTACTACTAGAAATAGTAGTATTGTACTAGTCTCAGTAATATTAACAGTAGTAGGGCTACTAGTAACAATAGCTCTAGTTATGATACGAGTAATCGGAATAGTAATCGTAGTAGTACTAGTGATGTTAGTAGTAGTAGTAGTAGTAGCAGTAATCGTAGTAGTAGTAGTAGCAGTAGGTAGTAGTAGTAGTAGTAGTCGTAGTAGTAGTAGTAGTAGTAGTAGTTAGTAGTAGTAGTAGTAGTCGTAGTCGTAGTCGTAGGTAGTAGTAGTAGTAGTAGTAGTAGTAGTAGTAGTATAGTAGTAGTAGTAGTAGTAGTAGTAGTAGTAGTAGGTAGTAGTAGTGTAGTCATAGTAGTAGTAGTAGTAGTAGTAGTAGTAGTATAGTCGTAGTAGCAGTACTACTAGTAGTCGTAGTAGTAGTAGCAAGTAGTAGTAGTAGTAGTAGTAGTAGTAGTAGTAGTAGTAGTAGTAGGAGTAGTAGTTGTAGTATTTGGCATAATAGGAGGAACGCAACTAGTAGGTCAAATCTTAATACCAATAGTGTTAGTAGAACTAGTAGTAGTAGTCGTAATAGTAATATCAGTCATACAACCCTCGTCAACAATAAACTGAGGGATTCTGTTTTCGGTGATTGTATGGTGAGCGCTACTCCAATGCTGACGCTAGATATCTGACGTGGACGCAAGGGCTTCAAAACTCCGACGACCCCTCCGCAGCATTGAACAATGCAGTTTCTAACAAGTGCCCGAGAAGATCGATCGTCGTGATTTCCATATGCGTTTCTGTTTTTTTGACGAGGCGTGAAGTATTTGTATTAGTATGTATACTAGTGATACTAGTAGTAATTTTCAAAGCATGGACAATAGTAATCGTAATCGTAATCGTAGTAGTAATCGTAAGAGTAGTTGTAATCGCAGTAGCACTGGTAATAATAAGAGTCATATTCTGCGTGCTAGTAACAGTAATCGTAACAGTAGTGGTAATGGTAATAGTACTGGTCATATTATTCGTGAAAGACAGAAGTCGTAATCGTAGTAGTACTAGTAATAGTATCAGAAATAGTATTAGCATTCGTAACCGTAACATTATAGTAGTATAGTAGTTGTAATAGTGATCGTGACAGTGATATTGATAGTACTAGTTCTCGTACTAGTACTCGTATCCGTAACATTAATAGTAGCTGTGCTTGGCGCCGCCTGCGGGGCGCCCACGAGGCGCTTGCCGCGGGCGGGTGCCGCGCGTCTTCCGAAGATCAAACCAGCGCGCGGCGCGCCCGCGAGTCGCCCACGGGCTGGCGCTCGAGGAAGCCGCAGGGATGCCAGCCAGCGTGCCAGTCGCCCGCGCGAAGCCCCCGCGGGTTGGCATTGGGGGAGTTCCATGGATCCCAGTCAGCGCGCGAGGCGCCCGCGATGCTCCGTGGACGGGCACCGGGCGAACACCCTGCGAACAAAGCGAGCGCGCCAGGCGCCCGCGGGTTGGCGCAAGGCAGTAACCCAGACAACCCTAAGAGACAATCAAAGTCAAGGAAATGTCATCTGTGGAAGCGGTGTTTGGGGACTGAAGCATTGAAGTTTTTTTCTCTTCCTCCCCTCCCCCTCCCCTCCTTCCACATTGTTCCCTCCCTCTCCTCCATTTCCCCTTTCCCCTCTCGCTCCCGTTCGCGCTTCTCCTCGCCCTTCCCCCTCCCTTCCGCTCCCTTCCCCTCCCTTCCCTTTCCCCCTGGGCCCGTCTGTCCCTTCCTTCCTCCCAATACCCGTTCCTTCCTCCCTTTGGCCCCTGCCCTTCTCCCTGCCAGCGCCTCCTCGTCAGCCATCCCACCCTCTTCCCCTCTTCATCCTGTTCTTCTTCCCTTCCCCCCTGCCCTCCCCCCAAATCGGCTCCCTCGGGATTGCCTGTCGGCCGACAGGAAGCCCTGGTGGCGGCTGATGGCACGGCGGGCGCGTCTTGCCCCGGGAGGGGAATGAGGGAGAGGAGATGGAGGAACATGTGACCGAACAGGACGCCGTGGCAGGTGGTGCTGATGATGATTATGCTGCTGATGCTGATGATGATGCTGATGATGGTCGTGGTGCTGCTGCTGCTGGTCGTAGCGATTCTGATGATGCTGCTGTTGATGATGATACTGATGAGGATGATGAACGTGATGATAGTGATTCTGATTGTTGTGGTGATGACGACGACGAGGTTGATGTTGTTGTAATGGTGTTGATGGTGATTGTTATAGTGATGATGGTGGTGGTGATGATGTGGACAACGATGGCGATGACGTCGACGACGATTATGATTATGGCGGTGGTAACGACGATGACGACCAGGAGATGGAGGAGGAGGAGGGGGAGGAGGAGGAGGAGGAGGAGGAGGAGGAGTAGAAGGAGGATAATGATGATAATGATGATTACGATGATGATGGTGATGATGATGATGATGATGATGATGATGATGATGCTGATGATCATGCTGATGATGATGCCGATGATGCTGATTATGCTGCTGATGATGCTGACGATGATGCTGCTGCTGATGATGATGGTGTTGGTGGTGGTGATGCTGCTGATGATGAGAATGATGATGATGATGATGATGATGATGATGATGATGCTGATGATGATGAAGAAGAAGACGATGACGATGCTGCTGATGATGATGCTGATGATGATGCTGATGATGACGATGACGATGACGATGACGATGACGATGATGATGATGAGGATGATGATGATGATGATGATGACGATGATGATGATGATGATGATGATGATGATGATGACGATGATGATGACGATGATGATGATGATGATGATGATGATGATGATGATGATGATGATGATGCTGATGTTGTTGATGATGATGATGATGATGATGATGATGATGATGATGATGATGATGAGGATGATGATGATGATGATGATGATGATGATGATGATGATGATGATGATGATGATGATGATGATGAGGATGATGATGATGATGATGATGATGATGATGATGATGATGATGATGATGATGATGATGATGATGATGATGATGATGATGATGATGATGATGATGATGATGATGATGATGATGATGATGATGATGATGATGATGATGATGATGATGATGATGATGACGGTGGCGGTGGTGGTGGTGGTGGAGGAGGAGGATGAGGCGGTGGTGGTGGAGGAGGAGGAGGAGGAGGAGGAGAGGAGGAGGAGGGCGAGAAGGAGTTGCGAGTCGTGCGCGCGAGCGAGGGGCAATCAGGGTCTCGCGGGGGTGGCCGTTGCGGCTGTCGCCCGGCACGGGTCGGCGACAGTCCTGCCCAGAGCCCCTCCCCCGTCGGCTTGGCTGCTCTCTGGGCTTCAGTCGGGCGTGTCCCTCTACAGGAGGAATCTTCAACATCAGTTTGAAATCGTAGTGGGATGATTTTTTGGAATATTTGTGATTTTGGTTTGAATATTTTTGGAGTATTGTTTGTGTTTCGTCCAAAATCCGCCTGCAGGGGGACATGCGCGACCTAACTCTGGGTGTCAAGTATTCAGGATTCGAGTCCTGTGGGTAACCCTGCAGGAAGGTATTACAGACCGACGTCGCTCTTTCCAGCTGTGGGTTTTGTGCGGCACAACTTCAGTACCGTCAACTTCTTCGGGTGCTTCATCAGACGTGCTCCAAAACGTTGCCCATCCTTGGTCTCGGCTGGCCTCCAGCACTTGGTCGTGAGTCAGCAGTGCGGTTTGGGAGCCACCTGTGTTGCTTGTCCAAGCTCGCCTCGATATGGGCACGGCATGTTTCAGTGCAGCCTTCAGCGAGTCAGCGCTGTTGCCCGAGGCGGGGGCGCTGGGCAGACGCGCTTCAGGAATTCTAGACGCTTCGCGTATCCCCACCAGCCCGTCCAGAAATGAGCCCCAGAGGAGTGGAGGTGATGAGGGAAGCGGGGGAGCATGCAGAAGAACAAAGAGCGGGTTAAGCCGCCATACGTTCCAAGAGGGGGAGGATGTAGGAGGAGTCGTCGTCGTCGGGTAAGGAGGAGGAAGACGAGGAGCAGGAGGAGGAGCAGGAGGAGGAGGGGGAGGAGGAAGAGGAGGAGGAGGAGGAGGAAGATGAGGAGGAGGAGATGGAGGAGGGCGAGGACGAGGAGGACGAGAAGGAGGAGGAGGAGGAGGAGGAGAAGGAGGAGGAGGAGGAGGGGGAGGGGGAGGAGGGAGGAAGGAGAAAAAGAGGAGGAGGAGGAGGACAATGGCGAGCTTGGGGGCCTCTTGGGCCGTCTTTTGGGCCTCTTGGCGGTCCCGGGTGCCTCTTGCGTATCTCGGGGAGCTTCTTGTGTCCTTTTGAGAGTCTCTTGGAGGCCTCTTGGAGGCCTCTTGGGGGCCTCTTGGGGCCTCTTGGGGCCCTCTTGGGGCGCTCTTGGGGCGCTCTTGGGAGCCTTCGGGGCGCTCTTGGGGCCATCTTGGAGGAGATCTATCAAGAAGGGGGGGTTGCTTATTAGCGTTGCCCCTCTAGAGTGCCTCGAATCGCCTCTTGGGCCTTCCTAGAGGCCAAAATCCGTCCAAAACCTAAGGAAAATCAATGTTTTTTGCTTTCTCGCCTTTTCGCTCTTGGAGCCGTCTTGGGCCATCTTGGGAGCATCTTGGGGCCTCTTGGGGGTCTCTTGGGAGCCTCTTGGGGGCATCTTGGGGGCCTCTTGGGGCCTCTTGGGGCCCTCTTGGGGCGCTCTTGGGGCGCTCTTGGGGCGCTCTTGGGAGCCTTCGGGGCGCTCTTGGGGCCATCTTGGAGGAGATCGATCAAAGAAGGGAGGGTCGTATATTAGCGCTGCCCCTCTAGAGTGCCTCGAGTCGCCTCTTGGGCCCCCCAAGAGGCCAAAATCCTTCCAAAACCTAAGGAAAATCAATGTTTTTTGCTTTCTCGCCTTTTCGCTCTTGGAGCCGTCTTGGGCCATCTTGATCTCTCTTGGGGCCTCTTGGGGGTCTCTTGGCAGCCTCTTAGAGGCTTCTTGGGGGCCTCTTGGGGTCTCTGGGGGCGCTCTTGGGGCGCTCTTGGGGCGCTCTTGGGAGCCTTCGGGGCGCTCTTGGGGCCATCTTGGAGGAGATCTATCAAAGAAGGGGGGAGCTACAATTAGGGTTGCCCCTCTAGAGTGCCTCGAAGCGCCTCTTGGGCCCCCCCAAGAGGCCAAAATCCTTCCAAAACCTAGGTAGAATCAATGTTTTGTGCTTTCTCGCTTTTTCGCTCTTGGAGCCGTCTTGAGCCATCTTGGGCGCCCTGACACCTCGCGAGACGCCTCGTCCAGGTCAGCGGGGAGGGGTAAGGGGAGGGGTAAACCCCTCCCCGAAGGGAAAGAAGGGGGGTTGGCAGAGGAAACTCCCTAGACCACCTACGCCCTAAAGGGCTGGTGGGATTGTGGGTCAGGGCCTCTGGCAGCTCACTGCGTCCTTTTGTTTATTTGTGCAGGGATGCTCATGCATGCAGGGACGCAGCTGCAGTGCAATGTCGATCCGGCAGCACAGGTCAGAGATGTTTTGGTCCGCGCCGTGGGTCGTACGCGCCCCAGACGGCACGACCCTCGCCGTGGATGTTCTATTGTGCGAGCGGTTGAACCCGTCCGTAATCTTTGGTGGTGATGGCGCTGTCGACGGGGGCCTGCGCAGAGTTCCCACCGCGCAGTCCTGTTGGGCTTCCGTGCTGGTTGCGCGCGGTCGGGGCCCGCGGATAGCAAGTCAGTGCGAGGCATTATCAGGTTGTGCCGTGGCAGGCTGTGTATGTTTTGTTAGCGTCCCTGTCATCCAGCTGCCCGCGGCACGTTCCGCCACCGTGCCAACGACACACTGTGTGACATGTGACTCCTCTTTCTCTATTCCGTGATGGGGCTCTCATGCGGCCCCTCAGCCGCCCCGGGGCCGTTTTGGGCTCCTGTGGGGCCGTCGTGGGGCTTTCGCGAGAGCCTCCTGGGCAGCCTTAAGGCGTGGGCCGTCGTCCTGGTGCTGCCTTGGGCCGGCCAGGGTCCTCTCGGCCCTCTCGGGGTCTCTTGGGGCTGTACAGTGCAAACCCATGCCAAGAAACACCTTGATTGCCTCGAGGATATCCTGGGTTTCTTGGGTTTCGATGGTCTTGCTATGGAAAGCGTGGCGTTCCCACACCAAAGACCCACGAACGTCCTGGGGTCTCAGGATTGGGTTTCTTGTGGACGGTCTCTTGTGGTCGAGCTCCTTTACAATCGGGTTTCTTGTGGAAGGTTTCTCGTGGACGGCTTTTCGCGGAAGGTTTCTTGCGGTCGAGCTCCTGCTGTATTGGGGGTCTCTTGGCTGGGGCCTTCCAGGGCAGTCTTGGGGCTCCTCTGGGCCTGCCTCGGCGGGAGGCCTGGCGCCGCCCATGAGGAGCCTCGGGAGGGGGGGGGGCATGTCGCCGAGCGTGGCGAGGGGAATGAGGGGGGGGAGCGGGGGCCCTCAGAAGCAGAGCGGGAGCGGGAGCGGAGGGAGCGGGGAGGGGACGGGGGGAGCGGGAGCGAGGGGAGGGGGGGAAGGGGGAAGAGGGGGTGGAAGGGGGGGGGAGTGGAGGGGGGAGCGGGGGCCCTCAGAAGGGTTACTGTCTTGCGCAGCCGTGTTCCAGAGCTCGCGACCTTCCATGCTCGGGGCCTGTGGTTCCTCGTCGGCCCCCCCCCCCCCCTTGCCTCTCCCCTGGCCTCCCTGGCGGGTCCTCTCCCCTGGCCGTGGCCCCGTCCCTGGTGAGGCCTTCTATTTCTTTCTTTCTCGTGGTGCGTGGTTCGTGGTCCGCCCGCTGCCCTGGCCAGGACAGCTGAGCCCTTTATTTTTAGTGGTTCGTGGTTCGTCGTCCGCCCCCCTCCACCTGGTCACTCCGCTGGCCTGCCTGGTGAGTTCTTCCCCCTGGCCCTCGGCGGAGCCCTGTATTCGTCGGCCCTCGTGTCCTTCGCCGCTCCTTCGTGCAAGAGCTAGGGCATGCGCGCAGGTTTTGTTTAGAAGCCCAGACAGACAGCACTTGGCATTCTACGAGGCCTCGGCGTGCCAGGGGGCGCGGCGGCAGATCTCGGGGCAGTCTCCTTACATCCGCGCTGAGTTTTTTTGGGACAGTCCGCCGTCCGCCAAACAATCCATGATGCTCGCCGCAGGCCACAACCTTGATGTGCAGACGCATCACGGGACACTTTCGGTCCTCAGCCAGACCCAAGACGGGGAGCAGCTAGGACACAGTGGCACGCTGGACGCTTGTCAGTGCAAAGTGCATGTGCCATGGTGGAGGAGATTTTGCGGGAGGCTGTATCGTTGTCCTGTATCCCTTACTTGCGTGCCGCCGCTCCTTTGATGCTTGGGTTGCCCGTAGAGGTGGACGTGCCGGCTGTTCTTCAGGCTGAGCCGGTCAGGCTGCACGGCGTGGGTTGCACGGAGGGAAGGATACGCCGTGGAGGAGGGGCCCGAATGCGCGCGATTCGCACAACAGTGTTTGCAGGGCGCGTGGGCTTGTTGCTTCTCTGTTCGGTGCGGCTTGTGTAGTTGTGCACGGCATAGGGGGCGCGTAGGAAAAACAAAATGGTCTGTGTCTTTGCTTTGTGTCCGGGCGCCTTGGTATCGAAGACGCCCACGGCGAATCAACGCCGCCCCGCTGCCGTTCGCACACCCGCCGTGGTGGCCGACCGTCGTGGCCAGAGCTCGGCGCTAAGCTGTCGGACCATCTGCTCCCCCAGCCGTTGCGGAAACGCTTCGGGGAGGACGTGGGGGAGGAAGAGGAGGAGGAGGAGAGATCTCGTCGGGCTTTCCTGGAGGTTCTCTCGGAGGCCTCCTGTGGGCGCCTCGGGCCATCTGGAGCCCATCTTGTGCCATCCTGGGTGCCACTTGGGCCGTCCTGGAGACATTTTGAGGCCATCCTGGACTCTCTTGGGGCAGTCGTAGCCGTCTTGGAGATCATCTTGGCCGCCTTGGAGGCCATCCTGGTACGTCTGGAGCGGTAGGGCCGATGAGCTGGGAAGTTTACGGGCCCTGGTGGGACGAACTTCGAAGTTCACGGGTCCTCGTCGGGCGGGGAAACCGATCAATTGGGAAGTTCATGGGTCCGTCGGGTGGCTGGCGCGATCGGCTGCAGGCCAACTGGCACTCTTGTAACGAGATCAAAGGCGGTTCAAAATCCAGCACGCCGTGCACCCCTGAGGCAAGCCAACAGGGGGCTGCGGATCGTAGACGCCTACGGCGAATCACCGCCGCCCCCTGCCTTTTTGGAAACGCCGATGTGGCCGAAAGTTGGACTAGAGTTTGGCCAAGCTATCGGACCATGAGTTCCCCGAGTCGGTTTGGAAAGCTTTCGGGGAACACATGGGAGAGAATGATTATGAACAGGAAGAGGAAGAGGAAGAAATAGAGTAGGAGGATGAGGGTTGTTAGGAGTCTCTTGGGGCACCCTTGGGGTCTGTTGGGGGCTTCTTGGGGGCCTCTTCGAGGCCTCTTGGAGGCATCTTGGGGGCCTCCTTGGGCCTCTTGGGGGCCTTTGGGGGCTTCCTGGGGGTCTCTTTGGCCGTCTTAGGGCGTTCCTGGTCCGTCTGACGCCGTCTGGAGCCGTCTTGGGGGCCTCTCTGGGCCGTCTTGGGGCCCTCTTGGGGCGCTTCAGGGCCGTCTTGGAGGCCATGTTGGGCGTCTTGGAGGCCTCTTGGGCCGTCTTGGGGCGCTCTTGGGGCCGTCTTGGGGGGCCCTTGGGCCGTCATAGGGCCTTCTTGGAGGCCTCTTGGGCGATCTTGGGGGCCTCTTGGGCCGTCGGAAGGCCGAAAAGAAGAAAACGCAAAAAACCTCCAAAAACCTAAGGAAAATCAATGATTTTGGCCTCTTCGGGCCCTCCTGAGGACCTCTTGAGGGTCTCTTGGGCTGTGTTGGAGGCCTCTTTGGGGCCTCTTGGGCCATCTTGGGCCATCTTGAGGCTATCTTAGGCCGTCTTGGGTACATCTTGGGCCGTCTTGGAGGCATCTAAAGGCCATCTTAGCCGTCTTGGAGACCATCCTGGCCGTCTTAGAGGCATCTTGGAGGCCATCTTGGAACCGTCTGGGGCAGGAAATTGGGGAATTGAGCTCCTGGGCATCCTTTCCGGGTGGCCGGCGGGACGGGCCGAAGCCCACTGGGGAGTCCGCCGCCCCCTGCTTGCAGGGGTGCACGGTGTGCTGGATGAGCTGTTAGGTTTTGGTTTTGGTTCTTTTTCTAAAAGAACTCCCCAGTGGGCTTCGGCCCGTCCCGCCGGCCACCCGGAAAGGATGCCCAGGAGCTCAATTCCCCAATTTCCTGCCCAGACGGTTCCAAGATGGCCTCCAAGACGGCCAAGATGGCCCAAGATGGCCTCCAAGATGCCTCCCAGACGGCCAAGATGGCCGCCAAGACGGGTAAGATGGCTCCAAGATGCCTCCAAGACGGCCCAAGATGCCCTCCTTTTTTTTTTTCTCTCCTCTCTCCCTCTCCTCCTGCCTCCTCTTTCCTCCAACTCTTTCCTCCCTCCTCTTCTTCTCTTCTTCCCTCCCTCTCCCTTTCCCTCTCCTTTTCTCCCTCCTCCCTTTCTCCTCCAACTGCCCCTTCCTTCTCCAAGAGGCCAAGATGGCCCCAAGATGCCTCCAAGATGGCCCAAGAGGCCTCCAAGACGTTCTCCAGGAGAGCCCGAAGAGGCCAAAATCATTGGTTTTCCTTAGGTTTTTGAAGGTTTTTGCGTTTTCTTCTTTTCGGCCTTCCGACGGCCCAAGAGGCCCCCAAGATCGCCCAAGAGGCCTCCAAGAAGGCCCTCTGACGGCCCAAGGGCCCCCCAAGACGGCCCCAAGAGCGCCCCAAGACGGCCCAAGAAGCCTCCAAGACGCCCAACATGGCCTCCAAGACGGCCCTGAAGCGCCCCAAGAGGGCCCCAAGACGGCCCAGAGAGGCCCCCAAGACGGCTCCAGACGGCGTCAGACGGACCAGGAACGCCCTAAGACGGCAAAAGAGACCCCCAGGAAGCCCCCAAAGGCCCCCAAGAGGCCCAAGGAGGCCCCCAAGATGCCTCCAAGAGGCCTCGAAGAGGCCCCCAAGAAGCCCCCAACAGACCCCAAGGGTGCCCCAAGAGACTCCTAACAACCCTCATCCTCATACTCTATTTCTTCCTCTTCCTCTTCCTGTTCATAATCATTATCTCCCATGTGTTCCCCGAAAGCTTTCCAAACCGACTCGGGGAACTCATGGTCCGATAGCTTGGCCAAGCTCTAGTCCAACTTTCGGCCACATCGGCGTTTCCAAAAAGGCAGGGGGCGGCGGTGATTCGCCGTAGGCGTCTTCGATTCTTTTAGAAAAAGAACCACAACCAAAACCTGACAGCTCATCCAGCACGCCGTGCACCCCTGCAAGCAGGGGGCGGCGGATCTAGTGGCCTTCGGCCCACCCGGCCACCGTGCCTTGGTTGTACGTCAGAGGCATCAGGGATGCTTGGATCTCTTGTGAAGCCTTTCGGGACTCTCTGGGAGGCGGTTTTAAGGTCACTTCGGAGCGTCTCGGGGGCCTGTTCCGGGCTTCTCGGGGCCTGATTTGGGCTTCTTCGGGGTCTCGTAGAGCTTCGGGGAGGCTTCGGCCACTGGCTGGCTCAGAGGTCGTCTTAGAGCGGAGGGCTCGGAATATGCGTTCGTGTTCCTCTTGGGCCTCTCTTAGGGCCCCTTTTGGAGCCCTCTTGGGCCATTTCGGGGGCCTCTCGGGCAGTCTTGGGCCCTCATGGCCCATCTGGCCTCTTGGGGCCTCCTGGGCCGTCTTGGGGCGATTTTGGGTGCCTCTCGGGTCGTCTAGGGGCGTCGAGAGGCTGAGGAGGCGAGAACGCTAAACCTTTCCAAAGACACGTGGGAAGTATATCAGTTTTGCTTCTCAGGGCCCTTTCTGGAGGTCCTCTTGCAATTCCAGGACGAAGTTTTTCCCTCTTAGGGCCTGAACAGGCTGCCTTCAGCTGATGCGCCGTTGATGCGCCTGTGCGCCTGAAATTGACCTCGGCGGATCCAATTAAGTTGGTGCGGGTCCGAATTTGGTTTAGATTTGTGCTACGGTGTGTTCAATTTCCCTCCGCGCGGGTCCGATTTCGGACGTTGTGTATCTGATTTTTTGGTTCTTGCATATTCGATGTATACCCTGTTCTACATGAAGTTATCAAAAAGGATCAAATGAGGTGACGGACGGGAATCGGGTCCGCGTTATCCAAGCCTACCGCTGTAAAGGTTCCACGGGGAGAGGGGTTTTGCTTGCGAACTGTCGCAGACAGGTTCCCGCATGGCCCCCCCGCCCTCCCTGCGCGCGGGTCGCACCCAACATGGATGCATCTCTCCTCACCCCCGGCTGCTGTAAGCATCTTGTCCAGACGCTGTGCGTCTGGCGGCGCCGCTGCTCTCTCGCCAACCGCTGGTCGACGCTGGCGCCTCCAGAGGAACATGTCTCGCCCTGCGTGAGTGCATTTTCGGCCTGCGTCGGCTGGCACAACGCACGGCGCATGCGCTGTCGTCGCGCCTCCTGCGTGCCCCCGCAATGGATTTCCGTGCTGGGCTCGCCGCCAAACAAGTACTTGGATGGAGGTTTTTTTCCCAACCATCCTGTGGTGTTGGGTCCTCGTTTTGAAGAGAGAGCGCCCCGCGTTCCTCCCGCTCCTCCTCCCCCTCCTCCCCCCTGTGCCCGCATGCGTCCCGCACACCCATTTCGGCACACCCCTCACACGTTTCGTGGCCCCACAGGGAGCTCCACCGAAGGCCCCATGGCTGCCGTCCGCATGCGTCCCGCACACCCATTTCGGCACACCCCTCACACGTTTCGTGGCCCCCACAGGGAGCTCCACCGAAGGCCCCAGTGCTGCCGTCCGCATGCGTCCCGCACACCCATTTCGGCACACCCCTCACCCGTTTCGTGGCCCCATAGGGAGCTCCACCGAAGGCCCCATGGCTGCCGTCCGCATGCGTCCCGCACACCCATTTCGGCACACCCCTCACACGTTTCGTGGCCCCACAGGGAGCTCCACCGAAGGCCCCAGTGCTGCCGTCCGCATGCGTCCCGCACACCCATTTCGGCACACCCCTCACACGTATCGTGGCCCCATAGGGAGCTCCACCCGAACTGTCCAGCGGGTGTGGCCCGCATTGCGTGCCGCACACCCGTTTCGGCACACCCCTGAAAAGCTTCGTGGCCCCATAGGGAACCCCACCGAAGGTCCCACTGGGTGTGCCCGCATGCGTCACGCACACCCATTTAGGCACACCCCTCACACGTTTCGTGGCCCCATAAGGGAGCTCCACCGAAGGCCCCAGTGGGTGTGCCCGCATGCGTTCTGCACACCGATTTCGGCACACCCCTCACACGTTTCGTGGCCCCATAGGGAGCTCCACCGAAGGTCCCAGTGGGTGTGCCCGCA